ATAAGGTTATAAGGTTATGATTTTGTCTTAGATGAAGAATATTTATATATTCCTTCTGTTGCAATTGACAATGATTTGGTTCAGGGACAAATTCTTGCTCCAGATCTTGTTCAAGAAGCAATTTCGGATCAAGACAATATTACAAAATTTTCTATACACAATCAAGAAATTGTTCCAAAATAATAAACTCAAAAACCTCAAGAACAAATGTTATTAAGAAAATCCACTATAAGAATGAGAAAGACAATTTTGGATGACTTTATAACATTTCTCCAAGAAAATAAAAATGTCATGGATTGATGAAAGAAGATCAGATCAATCAATTTTCATCAAGTCATGCAAAGAAATAATTCTCAAGAGTGAATTGATGTCATGCATAAAGAGATAAAGTTTATAAGTAATAATGATGTTTGAGAATTCATCCCATTGCCTGAAAGTGCGAAAACCATTGGTTGTAACTGAATATTTAAAATCAAGAGGGATTTGGAGGATGATGTAGAGAGATATGAGACTCGTCTTGTTGCAAATGACTTTTCTTAAAAGGAAGACATTGCCATTAAAGAGACTTTTTTCCGATTTCTATAAAAGACTCTTTTAGGGCTATTATGACATTTGTGACACATTTTGATCTTAAGCTATGTCAGATAGTTTACAAATTAAAGAAATTTATCTAAAGACTTAAACTGGTTTCCCGTAATGGTGTCACAAATTTTATCAAATAATTATCTCAATTGATTTTGAGATAATTCAATTGATGATTGTGTATATCACAAGTTTAGTGAGATTAAGCATATTTTTTGGTATTGCATGTTGATAAAATACTGCTTGCCTACAATGATATAAGCTTATTGTACGAAATCAAGAGATTTATGTAATGAAATTTTGAAATAAAAAATCTTGGTAACACCTATTTTGTATTAATGATATAGATACACATGAATCATTGTCGGTATATTTTTGGATCACCACAAAAGAGTTGTATCGATAAGATTCTTAAGAGATTTGGGATGTAGGCATGTAAACCAAATGATACCCCTATTGCTAAAGGAGACAACTTTAGTCTCAATTAATATCCTAAAGATAAACTTAAATAAAGGAAAATACAGAAAATTTCCAGTGCTTCAGCAATTGGGAATTTAATGTATACTTAGATTTGCACACATCCTGATATAAAATTCATTATTGGAATGTTGGACAGATATTTAAGTAACCATGGGATGGAAATTTGGAAATCCATCATTGGGTTGTTTGATATTTATAAAGAATTAAGGACCACATTATCACATTCAGGAAAGTCAGACCAATTGGAGATCGAAGGATATTCTGATTATGATCATGGAAATGACTGCAAAATATTGTCACTAGGCTGCATATTTTGGATGAAATTGAAAGACCACTTAAGTTNCCATTTTAATTATTCTGTGGCAATAGCAGTCTTGTATTCCAACATGAGCTTGATGATGTCAAAGTTTATAAACATTAAGTTCCTAGTTGTTAAGGAAAGAATTTAGAGTGGTTAGGTTTTTATAAAGCATATTAGGACAAAATCCATAATTATGGATCCATTTACTAAATGGTTACCACACATGGTCTTTCATGAATATAATACTCATATGGGTATTGTATCTTTCTATGATATGCCAATTTAGTGGGAGTTTGTATTTAGATATTATTTGTTTTAGACACAATTTTTATCCATGGATATTCAATTTATTTCAGAAATAAAGTATTCAGTTCAGTTCTACTCTAATTAAAGTTTATGGTAGATCTTATTATAGAATAAGGTAGGACTAGTTGGAAATAGATAATGTTTGGATCACATTACATGTAATTTTCATACTACACATTCATACTTGATCTATGTCATTTGATTATGTTGATATACGTGACCATTGATGAGTTTAGTTATGATACTTGTAACGAATACCGCTTTGATCCTATATTGATATAATCAACGGACGAAATTGCTCAGAGATGCTTTTGGTTATGATATCAAAAGTTTTGACGTCATAATGTTGTACACATTTATAAGGTAACATATGTGGCCCAAATGGGAGATTGTTGGATTAATTAATTTGTCATGTGGATCTACATATGTAATTAATTGTGTATAAAGCTATCTTAAAGTTGAGCCCAATTAAAATGATCTAATAAAGAAGTGGAAATTACATGGAGCCCTACTTTTGGAGATCCAATTTCTAAAATCAGATTTTAAGGTTTAAATTTCAAAAATCAAATATTTTATATATACATAAAGGTTTTTTATATTTAATTAAATATTAATAATAATACTATAAAAATTAATTTATAACCCCACCCAACCGTAAATCCCCAACTTCTCACAAGTCCAGAAATCCCTCACCCGTCCCTCATCTCTCTATCTCTCTCTCTGGCGGCAGGAAAGGTCCTCAGGTCGAACGGTGGCGGGTTCCTTGATGGTGGGTTTTTGGGCGATGGTGGTGCGGTGATCCATCGGAGCTACGGCACCGTGTTAGGGCTCCAACCGTGGCTACGTCCAGCCAACAATCGAATGGTCTCACCTGTAGATCTTTCCTCTTTCGTTATTCTGGTGTGATGGCTGTGCGGTAGTGTGGATGTGATTGGTGCGCGCGGCGATGGGTGTGTTCTGATGCGATTGGTTTGTGTTCTGGTCCGATTGGTGCGCGCGGCGGTGGGTGCGAAGATGAAGCAGAAGGAACCAATTTCATAACAAAAAAAAAAAAGAACAGAGGAAGAAGATGAGCAGCGATGAGCGTCGATGCTTCATGGTGGTCGGAGCTTTGGCGATTGTGGTGGCTGATCTGCGAGGTTGTGGCGATGGTGGTGGATCTGGTGGGTTGGGATGCGATGGTGGTGGTGGTGGTTTTGGCTGCGGGGGTTTCAATGGGTATTTAGCTACCACAGAATTCTCTTCCAATTAGAATTGTAAGTAATGGGGTTGAAAATGGTGGTGGTTGTGGTTGTTTTGCCAATGGTGGTGGTGATGGTTTTGGCGGTGGCAGGGGGCGGTTTTGTGGTGGTTTTAACAGTGACCCTTAAAATTCGAATTGTGACTCAAAATTAATTAAGTTGTCACCGAAAAATTTACCTGTGATCATTTGAAAATAACTTGTGATCCTTATAAAAAATAAAAATAACTCGTGATTATGAACAAAATTCTGATTTGTGACCTAGACTGTGACTTGTGACCTAAGTTGTCGGAATCGGAGCAATTTTCGAAACGATCACCGGAATCGGAGTAGTTGCCGGAATCGGCACCGGAGCGGTCGCCGGAATAGTCGCCGGAGTGGTAGGGTGGGGGTGGGTTAATTATATTTATTTATTTCTTTTTATATATTTATATTTATGTGTATGTATAGGTTAAAAAATCTGATTTTTGAAATGTGAAAGTTGTTTTGTTATTTTTGAAATAGGGTAAAGATAAAGTAGGAGAAATGAATTTTTTCCAATAAAGAATTGAATTACAGGTCTAAGGGATCTAAATAAAGCGCGGGCCGAATTATATATGTAGAGATCGGATCCATTAGAGTTGTATTTGACGATTGACCAAATACATATGGAAACTATAAATAAGGTTATGATCCCCAATTTATATGCAACTTCACATTCTTTATGTCATCTCATCAACACAATAATATAAGAGAAATCATACTGAAGAGGAAAATTCAAAACTCACAATCAAGATCAAGGATTGAAAAAAACAAGAATCAAGACGAAAGATTTGAGCAATTAAATCGAAGAACAAGACAATTGAGATTATGGAGCAAGAAGCCAAAATCAAAATCAAGAACTCAAGAACTAATAATTAAGATTCAAAATCCAGTATTAAAGAATTATTCTCAAAGAATTAATGTATCTTCAGTATTATTAATTTTATTGATGATTTGACATGGACGATCTTAGTAATAAAGTAATTAGGTTTTTAAGTTTTATAGTTTAAAGTTTCATAAAGTTTAACAAAATTTACCATCAATAAAACTTTGCACGAGAACTTTTGTTACAAGAAGTTGTCATAAGCAACATTACTTTCAGCTTCAGGCTCTGTCTTATCGTGAAAATATATCCCAGATTGATTGAATAAACAAAATATTAGCAAGAGTTCATCACTAGACAGACAATTTTGAAGGCCTCTTATTTGTAAATCTACCCCACTCTAGACGTTTAAGACAAATCAGCGTTCCTTCACCATTCACCCTCTCTTCATCTCCATTTTCATAGTTATCATAATTATTGCAGTGCCTACTATGTTACAAAATAACATTTGCCATGTTAGCTCCCATTTGTTACAAATCCACGTTTTCCCGTTTGAGGACTTAAAGTTTGATCCACTACTGCCACTACCTCCACAACAAGCACCTCCCAAATTTATTGTCACACTTTCTCAGGCTCTAGACTGTTCATCACGAAGGAAAGAGCAATTCTCACCATACGGACATCCTTTCTCTGTATAGAATTTCTGGCAATGCCTCCATTTATAAGACCTCCGTGCATCCTTGCTGATAAGTGTAGTTTCTACACTTATCCAGGATTCTAAATGATGATATTTTGTTATTTTTTACATGAATTAGGATCTAATTTGTGTTATATTGTGTTTAAAAGGTAAAACTCGATGATTGCAAGAAGAATTGGGAAAAAGAATAAAAATTGAAGAATAATGATGAAACCCCAACTATGGAGACTAAAGTGCAACATACCAATAGTTTTGTTGGATTGCAAGACGATGATTCAAGAATTTCAAGGGTCAATTGGAGGTGAAGAGAAGCCAACATGATGAAAAATATTCAAAAATGATCAAAATACACACTTGAAAAAGTTCAGAGACCAATATGCAAATTGGTTCCAAAACTATAATATCATGCGTACGCATAGGCCTATAGGCCATGTGTATGCTCAAATCTTATGTGGGTCATCAAAGTCTAAATTCATTCTTCTACGCGTATGCTCAACTTATACTATGCGTACACATGACTTTTTGATTAGGAAAGAGTTTCTTTCCTTTTCTTGTTTCGACAAATTTTGGTATGATATCTTTGCACCCCTTATAACCTAGAATTCATCCAAAACGTGGGGGAGACCTTTCTAGACCTAAAATTCATAGGTTCAACGTATTTCGGAGGCGAAGAACGAGGCTAAATCATCAACATCAAGAGAATTGTGGAAGATTCCTGAAGATTAACCATCCAAAATCAAGATTCCATATTTCTTCGATTCGAGTGATATTTTTCTATAAATTATTGTATAATTTAATTATTAGAATGATTAGCTACGTTATTTTATTGTATTGGACGATTGATGATTCCTATTTTTGTTTATTTCAATTTAAAACCATTAATTTAGGCATTTCTTGATTGATTTTGCATTTTCATTGCACTATATAATTGATTGGCCATCAATTGAATATTTAGTTACTTGTTGTAATGTAAAATACTCACAATAAGTTTAGAACGCGTTAAAATCAACAAATGGACAATAAGTATTATGAATAATATTTATAACATTTGCAATCATATTGATAATCTAAATTAAATGCATGATTTTCATGTGAATTCAGATTAAAAATATGATCGGGTCGTGTTAATCATATGTTGGTATATCTTGAAAAAGAGCATTTAACATAATAGCTTTATCGATTGCCAAAAAATACATGAAATTAACTAGATTTTTAATTGATAATTGAAATATATGAAAATATGGGGAATCATAAATTCAATACAAGCATTCACATTCAATAAAATCACATTTTACTTGCTTTATTAGTATAGATTATAAGTAGTCTCGGCTTTGATGACACTCATCGTTCTTCGTCATGGACAGTAACCAATTCTTGACGGTGGGAAGCAAAATGGAGATCCGAGTGGGAATTTTTGGTTTTTGGGGGTCTAAGGTTATGGGGTTTGAATGTAACTAATACGGGAGCTAGAATTTTAATTAGTTTTGGAGGGTATTATCTAGTTTGTTATTTTTTTAAGGGTGCCCAGCCTAATTTCCCCTTCATATTTTTGGACGAATTTATTCCTAAATGTCTTTGATTGTACATATAGATAAATAGAAGAAAGTTCTCTCAATTTTCTATCGAATAGTCATTTGAAAGGCACACGAACATTAATTTATGGTTTTTTTTGTCTATCGATGACCTAATCTTCCATTCTTGAAAGTTCATTGCAAGAAAAAAGACAGTTTGGACCTCAATAAGACCACAAAATGAATGAAGACACAAGTGCAATGAGTTGTAATGTTTGAGGACCGGGGGTTAAAATTTCACAATTATTACTTTAGGATTTAAATTTATTTCGGGTATTTAATAAATGGAACCGTCGGGTCCAAATTTAATTATGGAACCGTTCGGGTTCGGTTCGGTTCGGTTCGGTTCAAGCCGGTTCGGTTAGAGCCGGTTCGGGTCCGTTCGGTTTCGTACCATAATTTAATTTTTTTATATTTACA